CAATTGTTTTGTGAGTTTGGACTAGCAGTTACAAATAATTAATGACTGCATCTGTGTGCCGTCAATTACAGGTTAAATACAAGAGTACGTTTATAGAAAGACAGGAAATCTATCAGAGATGAGAAATGCCGAACTTTGACGCTACACGCTGCCGGGAACCTCAAAGCAGGAGTGGGACTGGCGGAGGGATCCGGAGGGATCCGGTGGGATCCGGAGGGACAAGGAATCTGCTGGCCCCTTCAGAGAACGTATTATACGGATAAAAATCTACATTTAGCTGCTGATCCAGGTGTAAATCATTTTCTGACAGAATAATCTGCAGGCAGTGATGCCACAGCTAAGGGACCCTTCAGTCTAAAGCCTCTTGAGAGGAGAAAAAATAAACCAGGACTTTGAGATACTCTACTCTGTTTTATTTTGTGATCCACTTCAAAGTTTCTTTTTTTCTCTTTTCTTTTTTCTTTTTTTTTACGCCAGAGCTGATTGTACACTAGGAGGCAGCCAGAAGATTTCATTCCCTAACAGAAGACCTTGGGGGAATGAGAACGGCGTCTCATCAAACTCATCTTGGAACAACAATGCCATCCTTATTGATTGCCTTGCCAAAGTCATGGATACAAGCGATCTAATGAAACTGTGGTTACTGAAGGCAGTGCCCAAGAAATTGTGGGGGGTGGGAGGGGGGTAGCCTCTTAATCAAGCTGCCTGAACCGATGACTGGAGAAGCTGCTCCCTCTGACAACAGACTGGGGGCTCAGACCACCTCGGGCAGGAGGGGGGGGGGAAATAGATGTACAATAAAAGTCAAATAAATGACGGGAAGATGGATTACTTTAGTGATGGAGGAGCCTGGTCCTCAGGAGTGCTGTATCATTTACAGCCTTGTGTCCCGATGCCAAGTTGAGCGTTTGCTATACCAACAAAGCTGTGCGTTTGTCCTACCAGTGTATCCGCCCAAGGGTTCACCCCCCCAGGAAGACCTCATTACTCAGAACTGAAACATAACGAGGATGGGACCTTTAAAGAAAATCATTTGGAAAACACTGGAAAAACTTAAATCCCCAAAGCTCAAAGCAACACCACTAACAAACACAGATAACCGTCCATCACTGGAGCAGCCTACCTGCATCCCTACATACGATCCTTCCCCAACCACCCAGCTGACCCTAAATTAAAGACAAAAACCCAAAGAAAGCTATTAATAAAAGCAGAGGCCGCATGATTTCATGTATGGGTCACCTTTGGGAACGAGGAAAGCGACCAACTGCCATATAAACACCAAAAATCACCCACACGACTCCCAGCTCATAAAAGTAAACAACTTCCCTTTAAATCAAAAGGAAGAACCAAACTATTCTCTAGATCCTAATAATCCCTTAGATATTAAGGTCAACTGTTACCCTGGGAATCGATAAACTCCAGACAGGCTGCATCTGTCACTACACAGGGATTCTCAAACTTTTTGATCGAAGGTCCACATCAGATTTTTGTAGGAGGCTTGGAACAATTATCAATAACAAAAGAGCATTTCATGAACTTTAATGAATTAATAATAACCTTGTATACAGTCATCAATACATAACAAAAATGGGACCCTTTTGGGGGCGGCACAATGGTGCTGTGGTTCGCACTGTCGTCTCCCACCTTGTGGACCTGGGCTCCAGTCTCCGCTGGGGCTCCATGTGTGTGGGGTTTGCATGTTCTCCCCGTGTCCTTGTGGGGTTTGCATGTTCTCCCCGTGTCCTTGTGGGGTTTGCATGTTCTCCCCGTGTCCTTGTGGGGTTTCCTCTGGGTGCGCCGGTTTTACCCAGCACTACAAAAACATGCTGAGGCTACTTGCAGTTACCAAACTACCCATGTGAATGGTGCATGTGAATGTGTCCTGCGATGAGTCGGCGCCCCGCGATGGGTCGGCGCCCCGCGATGGGTCGGCGCCCCGCGATGGGTCGGCGCCCCGCGATGCGTCGCCGCCCCGCGATGGGTCGGCGCCCCCTCCTGGGTTGTTCACTACCCGGCTCCCATAGGCTCCAGACCCCCTGTGATGCTGTATAGGACAAGCAGTTATGGAAAATAGATGGAACCTGATGGTGCTACGTTGTATATTTCTACTTCCAACCATTTTAAGAATTTTGAAGTTAACCATATTGATTCAGCTGTGTCCAGATTAATCTGAGGTTCAGTCTGCATCCGGACCATGGGCCGGACTTTGAGAACTCCTGTACTAGGGTATGACACCAGAACAGCAGATGTGGACAGAGGACACCTAAGAAATGTTTGTCTGTAACAAGTCCTCAGGTGTGTTATACAAAGTAATTATGCCTTTCTGGGGTCCAGATGAACGAAAAAGAAGGATCATTATTCAAGGGTCAGGCAGAGAGCCACAAATCCACTACTGAACAGAAATTTGAAGTTTAAGACAAAAACCTGTATCCTCTCTTCAAAAGACGTGTATTTCACAGCGACCAGGAAGTCCACAAGCCTTCCCCACATTACGCATCCCAGTGAAAAAGATGAAAAAGATCTTTTTGCACACGATGCCAAAACTTTGGGCAAAAATAAGGCTGACAGATGATGCTGTAAGCCAGTTCCATGCAAGACGCCAATGAGTGGAACTCACGGTGACTAATCAAGGTTCAGAAAAGTCAATATTGTTCTTGATTTAAAAATACATGCCTTGGAGGTGATATTACCAGGGAACCATGCAGATTTGTCTCTCTCTGTACTTGCAAACTTTTTTTGTCTCTCTCAAAGCCAAGGGCATTGTTCGAAGAAGAAAGTTGCGAGAAAAGGTGTTCAGTCCACACACACACACACAGAGTAACAACTTAAGTGCCCACCTCACCAAAATGCAAATGAGGAAAAAATTAGAGAAAAAGGGAAGTACAGGCAGAGGGGAGATATGAAATGAAGGCTCCATTGAACACCATCAAAAGAGAGGCTTGGAATCGTTATAAGGAAAAGTAGTCATTTAATCACACCGTCCTCAGCCTGAGCCCCAGAAGAAAATCCGGCCATCTTATCCCGATCCGAGGTGAGAGGTGGGCAGCGGGAGAGGAACCAGAGTCCTGCGTGTCCAATTCATGCCGTCAGACCCCAAACATCTCTCCCTTTTCTAGTTGGCTGACATGCAGGTGGACGCGCTATCAGGCATTCCCATTGGGCGCGTCGGTGATGCGGCATGAGCAGGGAAGAGGACAGCCGGGAAGGCGAAGCTTTAATCCGCAGGCCTGCGCCGATCAGCCGTGGCTCGCGTCCCCTTTCCGATCCCCGGGGGATCGCGGCAGAACAGGACACATCAATATTTATAAAGTGTTTCTTTATAAATGTCATAACAATGCCTCTGCCGACGGAGGGAGCCGGCGACAGCGCTGAGGACGATCTGCATATGTAAAGCAGGAATTAAAACTGCTCTCGCCAAGCGCTACGCGGAGCGTGTCCGACCCCAACTTTCCGCAAGGTCAAAAGCCTCCCCCAGTTCCCATTTTTGTGATCTGCACAAAAATCATTCTAACAGCTGACAACGAGGGCCATTTTTAACGTGGTCACGAAGCAGCGCCATGAATTAATGCCTTCCTGTGCTCCTCTCTAACTATAGATGTGACCTCGCTTTAAACATGAATTATTAGGGACTTAGTGCAACATGACATTTTACTAGAGTCTTATGAGGAATGAAGATGTGCCTTTATCCCCCACCCCGGCTGTACTTGTAGACCCGGATCCTTAACATACAGGAAGTTGAGTCTGTCCCACTTTGGTACAGGAACACAGTTTGGGGCGAAGGTTTCTGGACTGGGCTGCACAGGGGTGCATGGACAAGCATGAGCAGCCGAATAGTCTCTCTCTGTCTGACGGTGGATCATATGAGGGAACATCTTGTTCCAGCAAGCAGATCCTGCTGGAACCCCCACTGGACTGCGTCCCGTAACCACCGGCGCCTAGATACCAGCCTTTCTCCAGCGTGGTGACGAATCTGTCTGTCGCTGTGGTTCCCAAGACGACGGAGCAGCCTGGCGAGCTCATGGCAGCGTGGCACTACCAAGGAAGGGGGGGAGGGGGCATCCAGTTGGGTTTGGTGGTCTCTGAGAGGAGCTCATTGCATGCTCCTGCAGCTGGGGGGTGTCAGGGGGGTGGGGGGAAAAAGTGCTGTTTTTCTGGGGGCACCGGCACAGGGTCTGAGCGTCCGCAGATCGCGGCCGCCACGTGTGACAGACAGGAGCACCTTCCCTAGTATCGAGCCGCTGGCCCTTCAAAGGACGGGATGACGGACCATGTGATGGCAGCGTCCAATCACGACGACCGACAGGCGTCACGCTCCAGCGGCGGACCGCTACAGGCCTGCGGTACCCATGCCTGCACCAGGATCACGGTTACCCCCGGCAACACAGGGCCTCTCTCCAGGGGGCGTGGCTGTCAACGGCAAGATGCTCATTACCATTCCTGGAGAAAGGTGAGCTTTGACCACAGTGATAGGAGGTGGTCAGGCTGCATTCTTCAGGAGCTGGCAGGACACTGGGATCTGGTCCTGAACCCAAGCCTGGTATCCTGGTATTAACCATTATCACTTTCCTAAGTCGGACAACTGCCTGCGTCAGCATAAATACCCAGGCAGACGGACATAAGCCCAGCAGACTCGGTAAATGGCGAAATGAAGATTCATCACATTTTACCTGTTTGTTCCTGCTGGGGGGAAAACGCCCCCCCCATCACCCCACATATCAGCAAACGTATCAGCAAAGCAATGGCACAATTGAGAGCTGCTTTCACGGAGTGTGATGTATTAATGGAAATGCTTGTTGGAAAAAAAAAAAAATCACAGCGAGGTTCCCGGAGCCTATCCATCGTGGAAGGTGAGCGCGGGCTCTGCCGGAGAGAGAGACCCTTCAGACGCACTCTGTCATCAAAGTGAAAGGTTAGGGTTCGTCAAATTACGTTTAATCGGCGTGGCGGGGAGCGGCCAGGCCCGTGGAACGAGGCCGGGAAAGGGCGGGCGTTGTGGTTACCTGAGTAAATCTCTCTGCTCTTCAATTTCACCAGCAAGCTCTTCACACCTGGAACAACGGGGAGAGGTGATCAAATGGAGGAGGCACTGCGCTCAGCACGTACAGCACAAGGCGCCGTGGGGGAGGGGCACTGAGGCCAGACTCTGCTACAGCGATTCTGACAGGAACCCGAGCCCCCACCTCCAATGGGGCACGTCCACCCCGAACTTTGTTTGCCACCGACCAGACACACAGCCGGTAATAAAAATCAAGAGTCTGAACCCCCCATGAAATTGTTCACCCCCCGGACAGCGAAATCCACCAAGGGGATATATTTCTGGTACGGGCCTACATTCACAAATCCGCCCCCCCCCCCCCTCAATGTCAGGAGGAAAAAAACATCTCAACCACAATATATCATTCAAATAAATCGTGTATTTAATTCATTAGAATGAATTAATCTGTCATGCTGTAGGTTTTCTAAAGAAACCAACTCATTAAGATGGTTAGACACATTACATATATACACACACATATAAGATTATTAGAACTATCACATTCTTCTGTTCACATTCTCTAGGGCAGTGATTCCCAGTCCGGTCCTTGTTTTTGCTGCCTCCCCGCTCCCTGTCAGACAGTCCACAATATTTAGAGCTGGGAAGGAGCAAAATCATGGACTGTCTGTGGGTCCCTGGGACTGGATTGGGAGACCCGCCGGATGGCAGCGGCCCGTGTGCATGAAGTTACCTTTGTTCCTGTCAGGTAAGATACAGCAATGTTTCTGCAGTATGGCTGGCAACACCTGCAAGGGGGGGGGAAACAGTGTTACTGTAATCAGTGTGGGGGGGGGGCATTATGCATGAAAATGACATCATAATCATTGGCTTTGGCGGTCCTTTGATAGATAGACATGTGTAGTGTTGAGTGTCACTCTCAGAGTGTGTTGGTGCTCTGAGACAGACACCCAGAGCATGGCGAATGGACCAATGCACTCACCGCAAACATCACAGTGTCTAAATGCGAGCCATCATGCATTCCTGTCACGCCGCCCCCTGCAGTGACAGCACCCCCCCCCCCCCAACCCCCGCTGCTTGTACACATAGGCAGTCACATGACCTGATTACATCACAGCATGCTGTCGATTTGCTAGACCGGAGCCTTCTAGGCAAAGCGGCACATGAAACGTACCGGTCAGAGGCGTCCTAACCCCCCCTCATTTAACCGCCTGAAATACACTCCAGAGACACTGTCACTCTCTGGCAGGAAGCAGTGAAGCAGTTTAGGGCAAACTCAGGAAAAGGTCTTATCTAAAGCAGCAGGTATAGAGCCCGTCCTGGTAAGCACAGGCAGCACGGCAGCAAGCGTCCCAGACACACACACCCCCCCGCGGGCCATTTAGAGACGCTAATACATTTTTAGCCTGTTGGGGGGCAGCTGGAATACATGAAAAGAACACTCAACCTCCTCGCACACAGCCATTTCAGGACTCAAACTCAAATGCTATTGGTGCGGGACCACGGCACAGCACAGAGCCACGCTGCCAGGGCGGTTAAAACCACCAGGTATGCTTCCAGGAGCAAATCGGCACCCCCTTCAGGACCAGACCCAACAACCTCCAGGTTCTTAACCACTATGTCACCCTCTGACCTTAAATTCACCAGCTCTTGGAGTTAGCTACTCGCCCGGAACTTTGGGAGGAAGGTCCCCCAAAGGAAAGGGCGGCCGTGCCGATTGCTTACTGTTAGAGTGACGGGGGGTAACAAAAAGCATAGCACTGCAGTGCCAAGGCCCACGAGGAGCACGGAGCGAAGAACACGGAAACGAAGCAGCCTTTAGAGGCGTCAGGAAAGAGCCCCGAGGATAGTGTGGCATTCATAACGGGTGGGAAGTTCCACGCTGAATGCCATCTAAGGGCTTGATTACACGGTAGCAGTATTTCCCAGTCTGGTCCTCGGGAACCCGTAGACGGTCCATGTTTTTGCTCCCTCCCAGCTCCCTACCAAGGGAGGGAGCAAAAGCGTGGACCGTCTGCAGGTCCCCAAGGACCAGACTGGGTAAAGCAGCACTAAAGGGTCTTCAGAGGGTGCTGATCATCAATCTAAAGATGAAACGGGATTGGCCGCCTCAGGAACGGTGCATCACGATCCTATCTTGGCATTCATACAAGTTAATTAATGGTCTCATTAAACTTTTGTGTAAGTACTGGCAAATAAGTGATGTAGGTTAAACAACTTGTAAAGCTTCCAACCTACAAAGCCCCTGTAGGGACTCTAATAGATGATCATCTGGCCCAATCCAGTTCCTTAAGCACTGCGCCACCTGCTGCCCTGTAAATGACCCGCTCGACTGCACAGGTTCCCCTTCTCGCTTGCCGGTTCTCCCCCATTTTCATTTATATGCAGAACCACCTCAACGTCAGACCCAATGCCACTAACCAATCAGGCTGCCCGCAGAGAGTCAGAATGTAGAAGAAGCTCAGAAAGCACAACCCGACTGGCCGGGGCACCCTGTCAGTGTGAGAAGGCACAAAACAGGTCCCTCCCTTTTTTAAAGCGAAACACAGAGTCACTCCCCTCCACACATCTCTGACGTCAGCATTCATCTCTCTCCCCTCCGTCCCCCTGCCAGAACAGTTAAGCACACTTTATGTCCATAAACTTCCATTCGGCGAGTGTGTAAAATCCCATTATCACTCTCCCGCACAACACCCATGTAATTAATCAATTAGTGTCCCCGTCAGCGAAGGCTTCCGCACCCTAATTTAAAAAACGACCCCGCCGCAGCACCGGCAGTCGTGCAGACAGAGAGGGAGGCCGCGGCGCTCTGTAAACACACATTTACTGCTTTCTTTTTAAACGATAAACTGTTTAGCCCTTGCAGATGCAGCTTTGATATCGGAGGCAGCACGACTTCCATGAAAAAGTTGTTGTTATTGTTATCATCATGAAACAAAACAGGTGGAACACCACCAACCAAACAAAACATTAATATTCAACTTTCGGCACACACGTTTGATTTCACCTCTTTATGGCGCCGGTATTTCACGCAATGCAAAACGTTCGTGGAAGATAACCAAGCTTGCCGTCTTCCCAAATTCAGGAGCCAGGTGATGTCGCCGTTTCCATGGACGCAAAAAAAAAAAAAACAAACAACAACAACCCGCTGATTCCCCCGAATGGCAGCTCTCCCCAGGGGTGATCAACAGGGGTGATCAAAGTGCCACTTGAGTAGCCATGTGGTGGAGGAGAGAATAAAAAAAAGCTCAGAGTTGCCCCCCAGAATCTCTCGGGGGGGGGGGGGGTGGTACACGTAAGGTTATGGGGAGGTCAAGTTACACCGCAGCCACCAGGCAAAACCAGAACCATGCCGATGGGCTGCCCCCCCTCCAGCAGAATGTTCCAGAATGTTCACCAGTCTGTATAGAGAAACACGTTCACTTTTGTTTGAAAACCACCAGGTTCATTAAGTTAATAATTAATGAGCTGGGTAATTGCATATTTGGGATTAATTACTGGCTAGGCGTGTCGATAATTATGCGACCGTGAGTGTGTCTGTGCGCATTTCTGTGTCAGCGAGACGGAGTTCATGTGTAGAAGGATCAGGTGACATCCGTGGGGCTCGAGAGGGCAGAATCGATCATTGGAGGAGAGGTCTTATCCAGCAGCGAGAGCATCTTGGCAGACTGATATTTGCCTTTGGAGGTTCAGATGTTGTCATGAACTTCAGGTGAATTCAAATGGCTGCGGCCTCTCTCCATCTCTTGGCACTCCGCAGTCCTTCTTTTGCCTTATACCCAAGAACCAGGGAAGTCAGGGAATCGCACAGAAAGCAGACATTTATAGGAGTACTTGTAAGCAAAAAGTCTGGATATGCTATAGAACTACATTACCCACAAGCCCCCCTCACTCCACATGAAAGGGTGACTGAGCCAAAGGCAGGGGGAGCTTAAGAAATTAGCATAATGAATGTAGCATAACGATAATATGATGCGATGGGAGGATGGGTGAAGGGTATCCGTGGAAAACCTTTTTACAGAGCACAATAAACCCCACCAAGGGGTGCATATCCCATTCTATACCCTCAGGTGTCCTTAATTATGGTGGATAATGGCAGACAGGAAGCAGCGCCAAGTAGGATGGGATTAATACAGAGCCAAGAGTCTTTGATGAGAGCAGATGACCAGGCACCTGACTCATACTGAAAGCCAGTGGTGAATTCACCCAGTCAGTTGAATGTAAAAAGTCACAGTCACAGAGTACTCAACTGATTGGTTGAAACAAAATCTTGGTATGGATTTTTACTTTCTGGACGTGAACTAGCTGCCCGCAGTGACAGCCATGCGAACGATGCTCAGTGCTTCATGTTCACTGCGCTCCAATTAGGAGTGTGCATTTCAAACTCATCATAAAGCCTTAAAGCTGTACTAGTAAGTTTGGCTCTCAATCTTGCGTTTGTCCAGCATGAGAAAGAGTCTGAGGTCAACCTGATTGCAGAATCAGTAGCCCCCAGTGACAGAGGACACTCAGGGAGGTACTAATTTCCTCCACGTTTCTTGGTCATAGGTATGGCATGATGTCCTGCTGGGAGCTGCCCTCCAGCGTAGCATGTGTGTGCTTGTGTGTATGTAATTGGGTTCACACGTCACACTCGGGGAAGATGGTGGCACAGGAGGTAGCGCTATCGTTCGGCAACTTGAGGGTTGCCGGTTCAAGCCCTGGTTCCTCCTGACCCCATCAAAGTGTCCTTGAGCAAGACACTGAACCCCAAATTACTCCCAGTGTGTGTGTGTGTATGTGAGGTGTAAATTGTAAAGTGCTTTGAGTACACGTAGGAGTAGAAAAGTGCTATATAAATGCAGTCCGTTTACGATTTACTTCCCCTCACTCAATCATGTGTCTGTGTTTTACCCACAAGGCGAAAAGTGACGAGTTGTAGGCCGCCCGGTGGGAGAAACAAAAGGAAACACAGTCGCTTGCCATGAGAGGAAACTGCAAGAAATTTCACCTGACAGTGGGGTGCACTAGTGCTGATTTAGCTGGGTTTGCGAAACGGCAAAATCCTGTGTCGCCTGATAGCTGAGTGAACTGTGCCCAGTCCTATTCCCCACCTTCAAAGCCACGACTCGAAGTCCATAACAATAACATGACAGAATGGATTGCGGTTGATGCAATACAGCCTGTCCTGAATCAAAAGTAAAAAAAAAACAAATATCTTTCTGAACCAGAAATGGCATTCTTAAGGATCGTGAAATATCTACGTGATCTACGTGGATGCAAATGGATACACCAGTACAGGTCCTACATTGTGACCAACGTCTCATTCCTTTGGCAATATGCCTGGCTTCTCTGTGGCATTACGACGAAGACCTGAACCACGTTAAAAAGCGTGCGCTTCACTACTCCAGCGTGAAGTCATTAGCGCGGAAGAGTCAGCCACTGGCACTTGAAAGGTGCCATGACGGTGTCAAAAACGTTCAGTCACGCTATTATTAAACTCTTTAAGTGAAGAGTGGCAGAAATAGGCGCACACCCATCAGCCGGCGGCCCAGGAATGTTTCAGTCTGGCTCAGGGAACCAGGTCGACATGCACGAGGTACAGCAACATTTCTGAACATCTAACCCTTGCATAATATCAGCGGCAATGACATCAAGAGCCAGGTGGGTACGCAAGGTCAGACCGATTGATCATATCCCATAAATACTTTTAAAATATGCATTCATTTTGTCACGGGTGAAAAACCACCAAAGTGACAGCGAGCGCCTCTTTTTTGCATTTCATTTAATAAGGTGACTCCAGCCCTGCTTAAAACACGCCGTCTTTGCTTATGCACGGTTATGCAACCAAATGAATTTCATGCGGTCTGAGGTGCTGTCCAGAGAGGCGCAGGCTTCGGGTGCCACGGCAGCGCCACCCTAGGCCTGTGGTCCAATCACGTGAGCCCTGCTCCTGCCACCTCCCATGTGACCGGCTTGAACTTGGACCCGGCTGCCTTCCCGGGTTTCTGACTATTCCAGTCCAGTCAAAAAGGGGTTTACCAGCTGGATAAATGGCCTGCGTTCTGTGAAGAAAAAGCCAGCTCTGATTTATTAAATAAAACACACTACATATAAATTAATTAATTAATTTATAATAATTAATAATAATTAATTAATAATTAATTTCCTGCTTATACAGCGTTGGTGAACGCTGGCGTTCATTACACGCCGGAGGCACTCCAGAAACGGAGGGGTGACTGATAATGCATGCAAAATAGCGCCCCCTACAGCTTCGCTGCCTCACATGCACACACACACTCTTTTTGCTTAAAGCCGACATCCCTGTCACTAAGCGTCATGTGGCCCGCGAACCCCCCCCCGAATCAATTCCATCACACTGAAAATCGGCTCTCCTCTGTCACTACCCTGCGAAGATACCTTTGTACTTCTGCATAATGAACGACGACGGGACACTTTGCATAAACGGTGCTCCACATGCAGACTCTGTGTTCCGGCTGGGTGAGTCCCCACTCAGCATAGAGACAGAGGCTGAGGGATGCATGCATGCAAACACACGCATCCATCAGAGTCCCTGCCAAAAAGGTGTGTCATGCTTCAAAGCCACTGTGCGGAGGGGTCATGGAGTGACATACTGCAGCCCGTACATCCTCTGCAATCCATCCATCCATCCATCCTCTGAATCTGCTTATCCTATTCAGGGTTGTGGGGCATCCTGAGCCTATGGGCGCAAGGCAGAGAACAACCCAGAATGGGGCGCCATCCCATCACGGAGCAGCCGCACACCATTCACCCCTACAGACAATTTGCCAGTTAACCTTGGCATGTTTTCGGAGTGTGGGGGAAAAATCATGGGGAGAACATACAAGCTCCACACTCATGGAGCCATGGCGGAGACTCAAACCTGGTCCCAGAGGTGTGAATCAACGGTGCTGACCACTGCACCAGTATACCGCCCCAACTCTGCCACTCTGTGCATATTCATTTCCTACAGTTTGCAAAGAACAATATTCACAATTGCATTCATTTTGGTAGACGGAAGGACACAGCACTGGAATTTCTGACAATTTCAGAGACTGAGCCCTGAAAAGCACCGCTCTATTCCCTTTATATTAATATCAAAAAGAATGAGAGTGCACGTGACTTTACTATGATCTGATTAATAAAGAAGAAAGCAATCAACCCAATTACATACACACAAGCACACACATGCTACGCTGGAGGGCAGCTCCCAGCAGGACATCATGCCATACCTATGACCAAGAAACGTGGAGGAAATTAGGCTATTTTCCACGCAAAGGTAGGGTCGGATGCGGAGTTAAAATGATATTCCCGACAGTAGTTCCCACGACGGGATATTGGGTCCAGCAGCCCTTTAAAGCAGAGAACACCAACCCCGGATCGACCAGTTCAGGTATCGGGCTCGCGGAATCCCCTCGTTATCGGATTATTCCTATATGCATTATGTAATGTGTCTGCACGGTGATTTCCCAGCATCGGCACGGGCTGCTCTTTAATCACTGCTGCCGTCCTTGCGGTCCCTTCTCCGGCACTGCAGGCGCACACATTTCTGCTGCTTCACCTTTAGGGGACCCAAGGCATGCATAGGGGGTCGCGGTGCCATAGGAATTTAAAAAACTTCACCATCCATAACGAAATAGAAAAAGGCACTGGGGCGAAAGCGAGGATCCCGCTTAATTGGCAGCGGAGTAAAGTTAAGCGGAGCGGCCATTCAGAGAAATACCTGCAAGTATAAATCATGCGTGTCTTGGCACTATAACCAGAGGGAAATAACAGCTTAGGCGCGTGGGAGCAGGGGCTGTGCCCGGTATTTAAAAACACTGAGCCGTGGACACTTCCCCATAATAATCCCTATGCATTTCCCTTGTGTTTTGTCCGCTCGATTTTCGTGCAGGGCGTAACTGATCTGTTCCTTACAGCACCGGACCGTCACCTTCATCTCAATACTTCCCCCCCCCAAGTGCCATAACGCTTTACATGTGCACAATTTCTATATACAATTTTTTTCTACCGTTTATGTCAGAAAAAAAACGCTCAAAGAGCAAAATCTCCATACAAAAAGTAGTTGGACAAAACCGATAACTGGTAATATGAATAATTTTATTATTAGTATTTGTAACTAAAAATGTACCTGAGACTGTGAAATATTTCAATGGACGATTCACAGTTTCGCGCAGCTCTCAAGTCGGATCTTGAGTTTTTTTCCTACAGGTAACAGAATAATATTGTATCGCCAATTAAAGAAAATTACCTTCTTCAGCGCTGACATTCTAGGTAATTCCTCTTCTCGGGTCGCCTTTACATGCTGAGCTCCACCAGCGAAGTTCCCGGGATAGTGCAAGCGTTTAAATGGGTATGCGCTGGTCGATAGGCTGGGGCGCTGCTTGATATTCCCGTCGCGCTTCCCATGCGCTGCTGTCAAAGCGCTCTTCACAGCTGGGCGACACTGCGCATGTCAAGAAAGTTAGTGCGGAAGCCGCGAGAGATCTGGTGGACACCATTTTGGGAAGGTCGAATTATTACGCTCATCTACCCAAAACGCAGTCTGCAAAATGCTTCAAAAAGCAACAAAGTAGCGTATCATAAATTAAGTTTTAATTACTGTTTATGTCAAGTGGAAAATGTGCAAGTAAAATGTTAGTAGAACAGTAGAGACAGCGCTGCTTCCTCCACTTATGGCATGGCTAGCAGGGAAGAAGGTAAGAATCTAAAGCAGCCAAACTGAGTCTCATCGGAAACGCGGGCTGCTTTCATGCTGTGGGGAGGTTTATTTGAAAACGTACAGTCTGGTGGCATAGCTCACTAGTCACTAGTTTGCGTAACATATCTAGCCAGCTGCAGATTACTCAGAACTGCATTAGCTCAATAGCTAGCCAAGCTAAAAAAGCACGGACCAGCTGGGATGTCTTTTCATTGTATTTTAATTTGGGTAGTTTTCGGAGGCATTGAATGATCTAATTCTTGCACGGAATCATTTGCTGTTTTATGGAGTGGCCCTAACGTAAACCATCTTCAAGCTTACGGGTAATAGTCTAACGTACATTGTGTTATTACTGGAAATTGATAATTTGCTTGTAATTTTATAACCCTATATATAGAATGAGGAGTCTTGATGATGCACAAAAGTACAGAAAATGAATTGGTTGGAGTATAACGTAACTTTTCGAACAGGTGGCATGACATGTACATGATATGTAATTGATGACAATGATAGGACGCGCCGTACTTATCATAAACATGAACAGCGACATAGTCGGTATATATTTTCCAGTACCTGGGAAAACAAACTGAACATTTTAACAGAAGCATACTGCACGTAACAAAACTACATCATTGTTAATGCTAGTGACTTCATGTTATTTGTTTCGAGAATAAGTTTATTTCAGGCTCCTAGGCAGAACGTTTTGGATGATCAAAAAAGTAAAGGAAGTATTCATACCGGGTTGCTAATTTTGCTCTGCGGGCTGGCATGAGATTTTCAATTGTGCACACGCATTTACATGTATGTAACAGTGCTATTACCTTGCAAATAATCTGTAGAGTTGGCAAACTATCCCAATACTATTATTAAATGTACCTAATTTTAGGTTTATAATGAAATAATATACATTTCTTGCATGAGAGTTGGCAAGCCAGAGTAATGGCAGGTTATGTTAATCATGAACTACGCTCGATTACACCCTTTTAGTGTTTCACAAGAAAGTTTTGGGGAAGCTGTACCCGGTGCCGCAGAGGTCTGAAAAAAGCCAGAGTCCGAAGAGAGACGCCGAGGCTGCGATAGAAAAAACGGGTCTGGGCATAAAGGCGGGGAAGAGACCGATAACCGGTGAAATGAACTACCGACCTCTGTGTGCTGTTTCTGCGTGTGTGTTTTTTTATTTTGCTTATCCGAGGAAAGCCTCAATCATCTTACAACTTAATTTGCTCCTTTTCACTGTAGTTTTTCCGCAATACTACATAAAGCTTTTGCAGTGTATGCATGCATCAGAAGCCCATCCTCTCTGTGCCTCTCCCTTTTGTGTGTTTTCAGTGAATACCCTAAGTAATGTGGTGCATTAAAGCCTGAAACGTGGCGTTTATATTAAATTCCTTTTCCATTCCAGGAATTTTGGCTCTCACAGCCACTAAGGCACAGAAGAGGGACATTAGTAGTCCCAGATTGGATTGCTGTAGTACTGATGTATTTCAATAACCCCTTTGTGCTCTCATCACCTCAATGAAATGTCTGAGAGTTGCTCTTCTCCTCTCTTGCTGTGTTTTGGAAGACACACAGAATGCCTGCCAGCCACACAGGAGATTGTACACAGTTCTGCCCCCACCGCCGGATTTTGTGTCCAATGACAAGGGATCTGGGCCCCTCCCAGCTACTGGGGTGTTAAACACAGATGTGCATCTTGCTGGTAAGATGGTTACAATCCTGCCTTTGTGAACAATCCTCATGGAGAGTTTCGAACTGTGTCAGATTTAACTCGGTGCTTGAAGTTGACAGCCTTGCTCAATGGTCCAATGGTGACATCACTCTGCCGATGCTGGGATTTGAACCAGCAACCTTCCCATCACGGGCATTGTGTCCCAACCCGCTGGGCCACACAAACACACAGTTTAGGGGCTGTGTGACCCTGCCTTCTCAATTGAACATCACTTTCCATAAAAGCATCTGCAATGTAAATAGAATGTAATATAATTATAAGACGTGTCCCAAAAAATCTGCATGTCCAGACACCATTTTTGAGGGGGGTTCATCAGCTCTGTAAATTTACACATCAATTTGTGTCCAGTTGCTCCTTTTTGTCATCCTGACTGCATTTTGAAAGCAGGATGGTAATTGGGGTTACTTAAACCTGATTATGAGCAATCTTGCCTGTTCCTTATTTGCATAGCCAGTCTACCCCACTTTGTGATGGTCTTGGGCTAATGAAAAATGTAATGAATGTTTCTGTGGGAGCCGCGTCTTATTTTATAAATACCGAGACTGAAAAGCTGGAAGGATGAGGTTGTGGCCTCTCCGTTCGAAACGTGACTAATATTGCAGTTTAGTCATTGCAACTAAATTAAGGGGATAAAACAAATGAAGCCTTTTAACTGAAGGCTGTTGTGAGTGCACACATCTCTGGATGTAGCCATTCTCCCGTTCTAGTCGGGAGATTCATAACTACATGTTTTGTCATAGCCACTTCAAGTCTTAATGCTTTGATCTGCCTGGTAACCAGTGTCAAAGGTATTTTTATGTCATTGTGCATTTGACAGAAAGATTTTCTATGGCACTCATTACTGCCGAGTGGTATAATATCACGTGTAGAACTCGACATTTCTTTTAACATGTCACACATCAGAAAAGTCCTCACTTAAGATTCCGGTTTTGTTTACAGAGATTAGTAGTGTGGCATAACACTGAGAATTCTGGGATGGAACAGATGTAATTTTATGCAGCAATAACTTATAAGATCCTAACTTAATTGAATCGGCCTTTAGTTCTTGGTGAGATTTACTGAATAATACTGTAAATGTGAACAGGGGAATCTTTTTGCATGCTCATCTTAGGATTATTGATTACTAACAAATAGCTAAACATGACCTTTAAACAAAATAGATTTTTTTTAGAGATTTAAGGTCATCTGAATGGGTGTAACAGGCACTCGCTGAGCTGAATTTCCTAATATTTTTGGAAAAGTCAGTGGCTGAGTTTCCTGGGTATGCAGGAGATGACGGAGGTCTTTCTTGGCGGAATGCAGCCGTGTTTCTGATAAGCGATGCATGGAGAAGGGGAGTGTGGCTTTGTGGGTAATTTTGTATTCCCTGTGTGCCGCACGTCAGACAGACCTGAGACGGTGGCTGAGTTTCGAAGGCAAAGGCTGCTCGTTTGGCCAGCTGGCCGAAGTCACCTTATCAGAGTGGGGGGTGCAAGTCAACAGTGTCTGTGTTTACTCCATGCGACAGCCCCCCACCCCCCCGTGGCTGCTAAACACCCAGTCGTGGTGCAGAGAATGGAATAAAGGCGTTTCTCTCCATGATTTTATTTGTGCCATTGGTGAAGGTGCGATTAAAGTACCTTTTCTCTTTATCTCTCTTTCTGGGGTCCGATAAAGGTTCCGTGCCTTTCAGGCCCACTTATTCTCAGTGGTTATCCTCTGGCTGATCCATTTATTGTTTGCTTGCGATTTCACCACCCCGAGCGAAACGTCTGATAGCATCGCAGTTTCCGCCAAAGCGTCCTCTGAAGAGAAAATGGATTTTTCCACTGTCATGCTGCCCCTTTGATGGTTGTGTTTGCCCTGACCACTAGGGGGCACAATGTGACCTCACCCCTCAGAATGACATCAGAAAAGACACTCAGAGATCTTAGTGAGTGGAGATAATCCTGTCATCAGCTTTGTCAGAGGGATTGTGAGGTCAGCTCCGCATTATAAAGGCATCAAGAAACCTCACATACTTTCAGAAACACACAGAAAGTGACATTTTCATTTTTTTAATGTCCCCAATTTTAATTAAACTTATTTTGTAGCTGGTAGACGTGTTGAAACACCTATTTCAGATTCCTGATTACAAATGGGAGAAAAATGTCTTTCAGTAGTGTATAATGTCCTCAGTGATATAAGCAGCTTTTTTTATTTGTCGTTGAGAGAACTTTTGTTTGAATTTATTTCAAATCGATTGATTTATTTATTTGGCCAGATGAGGATGAAGAGGTTTTCCAGTGTGGAGGGCAGCGAAGGAGGAGGAGGAGGGTGAGGAAGGCTGGAAGAGATGGTGCAGAGAGCCCGGCGGTCCAGGCTGCCGGAGGTCAGGAGGATGAGGTGACCCCCACCATGGCAGAAGGAGAGACGAAGCTCAGCAGGAACAAGAGGAGGAAGCTGAAGAAGAAACGGCGCAAGGAGAAGTTCCTCTCCCTAGGTCTGACTCCCAGTGCTGCTGCCCTGCAGTTCATTTACCAGCCAGAGGAGGGCAGCAGAGAGGCCGAGGGCGAGGAACTGATAGAGGACACACAGAGTAATGAAAAGCAAATGGCTGAGCTGCTGGAATTCCTCCAGGCAACTCTGGAAGTCTATGGCCGTGAGTATTCTTGCATAGATGCTTGGTTATGGTCCTTATGTGATGGCGGCTTCATTAAGCTACGGTTGTACGGTCGAACCCTGAGATTAGCGGTTATTGCTGTTTTTCTGTGGTCTCTACCCCCACCGAGGGCCACAGATGAGAGCCGGGCGGCGGAGAAGCTCAAATGAGCAGCAACAGCAAGAAAAAAAAATTAAATCAGATATAAAACTCTGAGATCCGGGAGCTGAAAGGCGACATTTAAGGATAATATGAAAAGGTTAAGCGGCACCTAGAGACGAGCCTTCAGACGTCCTGATTAGGCTGCCGGTAATCACACGGCCTTCTGAGACGGGCCACGTTATGTAACATGGGGGGGGGGGGGGGGCTGCACAGTTATTTTCACTGCACTAGAATCAATTGGCTGCACATACTAGTGGTTTTCAGTCCAGAACATGGCGATGCTGATGACTTCATATCTGCAGGAGATGGCTTCATTGGTTCAGTCGTAATGGTGTAATTAGCTGAGTGGCAGGTGGTCCTCAGCTGAGGACCAGTGTGACCATTCTGCATCGCCACCTCCTCCATCATGCTGATGCCCTGTTCTCACCCCGAGGGTCGACCCCGGATGGGAAGCAGCAAGACCTCAGCCCCAAGTCCGGCGCACAGGCCCTGCTTAATGGGCTCTTTAGCCGGGCGGTACCCCCTTCGGACCTGTGCCGTCTGCGGCGCCTTAGGTCACTGGTGCTGCTACAGGATGTGGACCGGCTGAGCACAGAACTGGGCCAATTCCAGCAGAGCACCACCATGGGTCCTGGTGAGCATCAGTCGAGTGCCCCCCCCCCCTC